GGCAGGACTTGGGAAAGAGAGGGACACTGTGAGCTAGATGACATAGCTTTAAATAAATATAAGGGGAAAAAAAGGTTCATACTTTCTACTAAATAAAACCCGAGTTCTTTACCTTTGTCTTCAGGTCTCTCTCCATCTGGCCTCTATTTTTCTGTAAATTATTCTCTTCCTGCTACACTTTGACAATGACCTGCCGTTTTCTGCTTTCATTTCACTCCCCTAACCTAGAATTTTTCTCCCATTCCCATTACACCTGTAGTGGGTTGAAGAGTGACCACCCCCTGCCCCCCCCAAAAAATATTCGGGTCCACCTGGAACCTCAGAATGTGATCGTATTTGGAAATAGGGTCTTTGCAGAGGCAATTAAGGATCTCAAGATGAGATCATCCTAGACCTAAGATAGATCTTAAATCTAATGACTTTGTCCCTATAAAAGGAGAGGACACACAGAAGGGCAGGCCATGTGAAGACAGAGGCAGATTGGAGTTACACTGCCACAAGCCAAGCAATGCCAGAAGCCACCAGAAGCTGAAAGAGGTGGGGCAGGATTCTCTCCTAGAGCCCTCAGAGGCAGCATGGCCCTACTGACACCTTGATTTCTGAATTCTGGCCTCTAAAACTGTGAGAGAATAAATTTCTGTTGTTTTAAGCTGTCAAGTTCATGGTGATTTATTACCATAGCCCTAGAAAATTAACACAATATCTTAACCTCTTACTCTTGACTATTTAACTTGAGTTCTTTTTGGAAGTGAAGATATAAACAAGACGACTGATCCTCCATGAAGAAATTCCTGTCAAAAATAGATGTCTCCTTCCTCTGAACACACAGAAATCCTTAAAGGCAGGGCCCATATCTTACCGATCTGTATATCACTGCACAAAGCAGATATTAGTTGCTTAATGTTTGACGAATGACTGTTTGGTGACATACAGTCTTATAGTTTGGAGTTATATGTCTTTCAAAAACGTAAAATCTCCTTGGATGACAGATCAGGTCACCATTTTCATAGCATCTAGTAAAGTGTCCCAGCATGAAGTTAGCATCAAAATATTTAAGGTAATTTGTTAAGGGGATAACTACTAATCAGATGAATATCTCGAGTGACTAGATCTAATATACTAAACTGAAAACATTTCTTCCATCAAAAAAAGACCAAAAAAAAAAAAAAAGTACTGGTGCTTTTGTGCCTCCCATCCTGACTTACAGGCTTTCCTCACAGTCCCCACTTCTACGGGAAAGGGTAACACAACCATTATCCCAAGTCACCCTTGAACCCAATAAAGAGATTCACAATCACTATGGTCTAACTCATTTGCCCTGGCAACAAGACCATCAATCAGTCACATTTTGGCAGTGATAGCCCTCATAAAATACATTAGTGCCTTTCCTCAGTACTCAAGATGGAAAATTAGGAAAAGATCACATGATATTTTATTTCACTAGTGAGAACAATTAAGGCTAGGGGAAAATATTTGCAAAAGATGCACCTGATACAGGATTATTATCCAAAATATACAAAGAACTCTTAAAAGCCCTAGAAAACTAATACAATTAATAACAATTAATAACAAACAACCTGATTAAAAAATGGGCTAAAGATCTTAATAGACACCTCACAAACAAAATATACAGAGGGCAAATATACATACAAAACAATGCTCCACATCATATGTCATCAGGGGAATGCAAATTAAAATGAGATACCACTACACACCTATCAAAATGGCCAGAATCTGGGATGCTGACACCACCAAATGCTGAGAGGAATGTGGAGCAATAGGAACTCATTCACTGCTGGTGGGAATGCAAAACCATACAGCCACCTTAGGAGACAGTTGGAGCATTTCTTTATAAAACTAAACCTACTTTTCCCATACAATCCTTCAATCATGGTCCTTGGTATTTACCCAAAGGAGCTGAAAACTATTTACACACAAAAACCTACACATGGGTGTTATAGCAGCTTTATTCACAATTGCCAAAAGTTGGAAGCAAACAAGATGTCCTTGAGTAGATGAACGGATCAATAAACTGTGTTCCATCCAGACAATGGAATATTACTCAACACGAAAAAGAAATGAGCCATCAAGCATGAAAAGACATGGAGGAACCATAAATATGTATTACTAAGCAAAACAAGCTAATCTGAAAAGGCTACATACTGTATTATTCCAACCATATGACATTCTGGAAAAGGCAAAACTATGGAAACAGTAAAAAGATTAGTGGTTGCCAGGGGTTAGAGGGGCGAGAGGACGAACAGGCAGAGCACAGAAGATTTTTAGTCATAATGAAACTACTCTGTCTGATACTATAATAGTGGATACATATTGTGATGGTTAATTTTGTGTGTCAACTTGACTGGGCTAAGGGATGCCCAGATAGCTGGGAAAACACTATTCTGGGTGTATTAGCGTTTGAACCAGTAGACTGAGTCAAGAAGATCTGCCCTCACCAATGTGGGCGGGCATGATTTAACCTGTTAAAGGCCTGAATAGAACAAAAAGGCAGAGGAAGCGCGGATTCTCCCTCTCTCTGAGCTAGGACATCCATCTTCTCCTGCGTTCAGACATTAGAGCTCCTGGTTTTCAAGCTAGGACTTACTTCAGTGCACACCCCCAGCCCTGGTCACCAGTTCTCAGGCCTCTGGTAGTTACTCCATCAGCTTGCCTGGTTCTCAGGCCTTCAAACTTAGTCTGAATTATACCACTGGCTTTCCTGGTTCTCCAGCTTGCAGATAGCATACAGTGGCATAGCTCAGCCTTCGCCATCCCATAATAAATCTCCAATTCCTACAATAAATCTCCTCGAGTATGTCTATTATAGTCTATTGGTTCTGTTTCTCTGGAGAACCCTAATACACATTATAAATTTGCCAAAACCTATAGCATATACAACACCAAGAGTGAACCCTAATGTAAACTATGACCTCTAAGTGATAATGATGTGTCAGTGGAGGTTCATCAGTTGTAACAAAGGTACCACTCTGGTGGAGTACATTGGTAATGGGGGAGGCTGTGCATATGTGGGGCAGGGAGTACATGGGAAATCTCTGTACCTTCTACTAAATTTTGCTGTGAACCTAAAACTGCTCTAAAAAATAAAGTCCACCTAAAAAATGAAAAACACTTAGGCACTATGAGGTTTAAAAACTGAGTGACCTTGCAAACATCTCCTATGTATGATCTAATAATGCCCAGTGACCCCACCCCACCCTCACCCTTTCCTGGAACAGCCAGTCAGTGGCCAACTAGCAATGGACATCGGTATCCCCACTACATCCTCCCCCACCATGTCCTTCTAAGTGTGGTGACCTTGACGTAGTTTTTCCTCCATTTTCTGGACCAATTTCTTTTGTCTTTCATTATTCGCTTCTAAGCTAATTCCATATTAGGCAGTATTTCTCACATTTAATCATATGGTCTCTTAATACCTTGTTTTCTTTTCTCACTCTGATTAGTTTACTAAGTAAAACATCTCTTAGTTTCTTCTATAAATAGAAGTGCTTACTGAGGTGCTAAGCTTGTGTACCTCCAATTTTAGGAGCCCAAAGTGGTTTGCATACCAGGTGTTAGTTACAAAGAAAAATTGGTGTACCTAGATTTAAAAAAAACAACAACATAGGGTTTTAGGGCTAATTTATAAAGAATCAACACTTGCAACCTTTGGAGTTATAACTGTCGAGATGTCCTTTTTGAATTCTACCACCAGGAATGCTAATTAAGCCTACTCAATATAAAACAGCATTTCTTTTTCACATCATTATTTGTTTTTGTGTACCAGCCTTGCAACACTGATTTGTATGACTTCACTTTGCACAATGTCTCATTTTAATTCTATAGTATTTCAGCTTCATTGTAGGTTAAATCAGTTCTGGTAGGCTAATCTAAGCTGTAATTGTAAACTTCTATATCCTCAACATTCAAACTGTTTAAAAACTAAACAGAATAATTCTATGTCCATTTCCCTAGCTTTTAACTCAAAGGTTCAAGAATATAGTCCACCTTGGTTTCCAAAACACCTGAAAACATTTTAACTAAAGTCAAAGGTAGTTGAGTGAGCACGGCGTCTGCAGCAGAATCCACACTCATAACCAGCTCTGGGTTCTCGACTAGTCGGTTTCGTTTTGTTAGACTTTTCTAAGAGAAACTTCACAACAGTGACTTTTTCTGTTCTTTAATATAAATGACACATTGTGTCTTGTTTTCCAAAAGGGGAAGGCAATTTTTTAATTTCATAAGTTTGTTTTTAGCCAGAAGAGACTGTGTACCACATCCAAGGCTTTTCCCTACATCATCTCTAGACTAAGACTTGAAATAGTTCTACTGTAAAGTGCAGCATTATAACACTTTCTAAGTACCTAAAGTTGAACGTCAATAAAAGGCAAATGCAAGTAAACAGCATGATGATGATTCTAAACTCAACATGAAAAATCAAAAATTCCTAGACTGAGCCTGAAGAAAGCTTGATTCTAGGCAATGACAAGGAATGTGAGGGATAGAAAAGTCCAGAGAGACTCCAAAGCATCGGGGTTAAACTTTCAGAAGTCAGCAAAATGAGAGCTGGACTTAGAACCCACGTGTAGGTATATTCTGTAAAATGCTTACACTTGCAGTGTACCATCAGAGGTTGACGGATTAAAACTTCATCAACGTGGAGGGGAGGAGTAAGTGAGCTTCCCGCGTTTGGAAAACATCGCCCCTCTGGGGCTCAATTCTTTCTTCTGCGTCGCGGAGCAGAGGCTGAGTGTGACGTTGGTCCGGGGAATGCCCCGGAGGCGGGCAGCCAGGCGGGCGGGGGCAGGTAGCGGGAGGCCCCTGGGGGAGGCTCGGGTTCTCCCTAGTTGGGGAGGAGGAGGCGGTGGCTTCGGGACGCGGTAGCCTGCTGGGGCAGAGGAGGAGCTTGCGGAGGGCGGGGAGGAAGCGCCGGGATGGAGGGTGTGGGGCGGGGGAGAAGAAGGAGGCGCAGGCGCCAGGACCTTCCCACTGGGACCACTCACCCGCCGGGCGCTCGGGCTGGATGGGCCGCCACATTAGGGCCCGCTCGCTCAGCACCACGTCGCAGCTGTCCCTCCCGATCTCGAAGATGCCCCGGAGCAGAATCTGCTCGGCCGCCGCCTCGGGCTGCAGCTGGGACGCCCACGACACGGAGGGCACAGCAGCCGCCCCCGGGGGCGCCTCTTCCTCCGGGCCGCCCTCCAGGGCGCTCACCCGGCCACCGCGCCTCCCCCGGGGCATGGCGGAGCCGCAGGCTGGGCCCGAGCCAGGGGTCTGGGGAGGCCTTGGGAAGAGGAGGTGGAGGCGGTGGCAGCCAGGACTCTAGCTGCGTCCGGCGCTGCCACAGCAACGGCGCGCGGGGCAGAGACCCAGGAGGGAGGCGGGGCGGGCAGGCGGGGCCGCCCTGACCTGGGCCTGCGCCGGGCCCGCCAGCCTCCGCTCTCTGAGACTCACTACAAAACAGACCCGGTCCAGGAAGAGGAATAAGTGGCTCCCTCCGCCAGGTCCCTACGGTTCCAGGGGATTTAGCGCCTTGCGTCCCCAGCAGTTGTATAAACCCCCGCTTCTCAAACTTTGACTTGCATACGCACTCCTGAGTCATCTTGTTAAAACTCAGATTCTTACTGGTCTGGGATGAGGCCCAAAATACTGTAGTTTTAAGAAGCTCCCAGGTGATTCTGACGCCAATGCCGCTGGTCTGTGGAACACACTTGCAGTAGCAAGCCGCTGTTTTTCCACCTCCTTTCCAGTGGGCTCTCGTGGAGAGCAAGGGTGGTGTTTTATAACCCTGCTCGGATACCATCCATAGTTAACTGAGCTTTGTGCAGCTGGTATAGAGAGCTCCGTTCCCAAAAGCTCTGAGAGGAAGCCAAAATAAGTCCCTAGTTTACATGGATTCCCGTCTGGCAAATTTAGTGTTAAAGGGAGGTGCCTCCGTGTTGTATTGAGGGTCCTACTTGCTCCCAAAATATCTCCTCTGCAGTCTGGTCCTTGCCTGGATCTGGCACTCCCTGGAGAGAGATTACAAGCTGTCGGGCTTGTTCTCCTGGAGGCTGCTGCTGTAATATAGTGTTACCTGGAAATGGAGAGAGCCCTAGGCCGTTCATCCTTCACTTTCTTCTGATAGCTAAGAGTCGTGAAATGAGCTGATTGTTAATTTGGAAAGCACAGAGTCTGGAGGCCAGTGGTTCTCAATCGTGGCTGCACATTAGAGTTACCTGGGGAGTTTTAAAAATTCAGATGCCCAGGCTACAGGGCAGCGATTCTCAGCCTAGGCTGAACGTTGGAATCACCTGGGAAGCTTTGAAAAAACTCCTGAAGTCTGGGTCCCATCCCCAGGGATTCCAATTTAATTGTCTGTGAGTGTAGCCTGGGGATCTGGATTTTTTTAAAACTTCCCAGGCAACCCTACTGTACAGCCACAATTGAGAACCACTGGCCTCCAGACTCCGTGCTTTCCAAATTATTAGGCAGCTGACAACTTGTGATGGTGAGATGGTCAGGGGGATGCGAGTTCTCAGGAAGAGGATCCGAGTGGGAGGTAAATTGGCAGGTTTCTTACAAGATCAGAATAATTGTATTGAGAAAAAGTTAGGGGTGAGAGGGTTCAAGAGGAAATCAAACTCGTAGAGTGAATTTAGTACCAGTGTGCTAGTGTCTAACCAGCAACTTCAGATAGGCAGCCACTTCTCATTCTGTCCTCCTCCCTGGTCACACTGCAAAGTCAGACAGAAGAGCTAATGGTAGCAGGCGTGTCTCAAGGTTCTCTGCTCTAACTTGGATTTCAAAAAGCCAGGCAGGGAAACTGTAGGCCTAGCCAATCCCTTTCAGACAGAAAGCACCTGTGTGCTAGTTAAGCTAGGACTCTTACTGTTTAATGCTCTGAAAACAAATACCCAAGCTTCCAGGCAAAACAGGGGAGAGCCTCAGTTTGATCTGATTGCAGCGAGCTGTTTCTTGGAGCAGAAGTGCAGCTGCTGCTAAGCCCCATGCAGGCTTCAGGTGGCCTGGCTCAGCAGTCATTAGTGGGAAGGCTGGTGCCCTCCGCGGAATGAGTGCAGTTCTGGAGTCAGCATCTTGTATTCACAGCTGTCAGGCAATCAACACAATTAGAGCTCATTGGCATTTTAAAAGCTCACTGAGAGCCAGGGCAAATAGGCCAAGGCAGTGGCTATTTCTTAGGACCTTTGCAGGGGGCAAGTTGCCATTTTTCAAGCTTCAGTCAGGCTAGACAGTCAAAAATATTGGCTTTGCGTTTCTTGAGGATAAAAGTACTGGCTGTGCTCCATTCTTTCCCTTTGATGACTTGGCATCTTCAGGGCTCTAAAGGTTGCGGTGCCCTGGGGCTCCATCCTCAGGATCTATCTACACAGGCGTGGTGCCATGGCTGCACATACTATTCAGGGCTCCTCAAGTGATGTCGCCAGCCCCGAGCACTCCCCTGAACTTCAGGCACTATGTCTGTCCAGCCGTCTACCTGACATCTCTGGTTGGCTGTCCAATAAAAAACTGAAACATAGCATATCTAACACCAGGCTCATGGGGGCCTGGCCCGTGGCCTAGTGGTTGAGTTTGGTGCGCTCCACTTTGGCAGCCCAGGTTCAGTTCCTGGGCACAGACCTATACCACTTGCCGGCGGCCGTGCTGTGGCAGCAACCCACATACAAAATAAAGGAAGATTGGCACAGGTGTTAGCTCAGGGTGAAACTTCCTCAGCAAAAAACAAAACAAAAAAAACCCCAAAAAAACATGATTTCTCATCACAAACCTGTTCTTCCCAGAATGTTCCAAATCTCAGCACATAGTGTCATCAAAATCCTTGACGTCATCCTTGTCTCCTCTCTTTGTCTTATGTCTCACATCCAGTCTATCGGCAAATCCTGTTAATTCCATCTGCAAAATAGACTCCTTTCGGCCTGCTCTCGTCCCAGTTTGTGCCCCTGCACCTGTCACTTAGACAACTTCCGTAGTCTCCCAACCATCTCTTTGCTTTCCCCCTCCCCTGGACTGCCTCCTCCAGCCCAGAGGCTATTTCCCACCTAGCAGTCACATTGCTCCTTTTATTTATTTTTTTTTTTTTTT